CCCCGCCCCTTAAGTAAAAACCTTTCCAAAAAAAAAAAAAAAAAACAGGCTTTAACTTTTTTTTTAAAGAATTATTTATTTAACTCCGTTTGTTATTATTTTTTATTTTGAAAAGAGAAAGAGAGTGAAAGAGAAAGGGAGAAAGCAAGCCGCCAGGCCAGGACTCAAACCATGGTTGGCCATGTGGGAATCCAGCGCCTTTAACCACGCAACCCACCGGCCCCTTTTAACTTTATTTTAATTTGACCAGAGAGGGACAGAGAGAGAAAGTAAGGAAGCAAGCTGCCAGTTCCGGGAACTCAAACCACGGACAGCCACATGGGAATCCAGTGCCCTTAACCACCATGCCACCTGCTGGCCCCCAAAACAGGCTTTGACTATAGCCAGAACACTAAATAAAGCTTCATTAACACTGAAGTGTTACCCAGATACAAACATTGGTGCTGTGTGCAGCTTTTGGATGGTGGAATTGCAGGCTGAACATATCTGTTATGTGAGATCTTTACAGTTTAACTATGGCCTGTTTCTTAGCCCAGAAACAAGAGAGAAGCAAGCTGAACTTTGACAGGACACCAGGGTAAGATCAGCCGCAGCAAGAGTGTTACCATGAAGCAGCTTAGTGGTTCAAAACCTGAGCCCTGGAGTCAGATCCTCAGGTCTATGTCCAGGTTCTACTACTTGCTACTTCATCAGTCTGAGCAAGGATCATGTACTTTGGTATCTTGATCTCCAAAATGGGTAACTGTACCTACTACTAGATAATAGTGCCTTATCTGTCAATACACATAAAGCACTTAAACTGGGGGCCGGCAGGTGGTGTGGTGGATAAGGCCGCTAGACTCCCACATGGCCGACCACGGTCTGAGTCTCGGACCTGGTGGCTTGCTTTCTCACTTTCCCTCTCTCACTCTCTCTCTTTCTGTTCAAGTTAAAACAAACAAACTAATTAAATGAATGCAAAAATAAAATGAAATAAGTAATTCTTTAAAAAGAAAAAACACTTAAACTGTGTGGTATATAATTTTTTTTTCCTTTTTTGGCATAGGGCTCATACACTTTCCGGAGAAACAGAGGGAAGGAAAGTGAGAAATCACCCCTCAGGGGGGATAGCCAGGCCACACTCCCCTTTCCTCCATTCTCTTCTTGGGATCCTGGGCACATGTGCTGAGCGTGAGTTTTAAGTCACTGGGTCTGGGATTTACACTTCGGTCAACTATCTGGGAGTCTAGTAACGAACTCATTACACCATCTGCTGGTCCCAACCGTGATTCTCAAATTACCAGGCCCAGGCCTCAAACCACAATTGGCCATGTGGGAGTCCAGTGCCTTAACCACCATACCCCCTACTGCCCTCCCCCCCAATACTTCTTAGTGTTACTAGGTTAAGTACCACAGGGCTTGACCTGTGGGCTGGCGATTGGGGAAGCTGGATCCCATATGACCATGGCTCAAATCTCAGTCTCAGCAGCTTGAAAAACACATTGGATGTGTATGTGTCCCAAATCCTGACAGGATGGAAAAACAAAAGGGACTGTGGCACAACCACGCCCCAGTGGGGGATGCTTTCTTTTTCTTCCTGTCTCTGGCAAGCACATGTACCCTCTGGCAATTAAAAAGAAAAAAATTACTTAGTATTATAGTTAGTATTTACTGGGGACTTAACTTGGTACCAGGGATTGTGCTAAAGCTATTTATATTAGCATTACGTAATATTTATGACAACCCCAAGAAATAGATTAGAATTACCTATCTTATTAGGTTGTTGGGAAAGTATGACACATTTTTCTTTTTTTTGGAGAGGTTTTTGCTATAGGGCGCATGCACTCCAGACAGACAGACAGACAGACAGAAAGCCAGAAATCACCCTCAAGGGGGATGGTCATGACGTAATCCCTTCTCCTCCATTCTCCTCTCAGGATCTTGGGCACACACGCACACGCGCCCAGCGAGTTTTAAGCCACTGGGTCCAAGATGTGAACCGCGGTCAACTACATGGGAGTCCAGTGACATAACCATTATGCTAACTGCTGGTCCCAGTATGACACATTTTTCTATGCAGAAATGCATTGACTTTCCCAATGACAAAATATTAAGAGAGAAACAGGTCTAAAGAAGTCATATATAGCTAGTAAATTTTTTTTGTGGGGTAGAGGTTTTTGCCTTAGGGCACATGCACTCTCCAGACAGAAAGACAGAGATAGTGAGAGGAAAAGTGAGAAATCACCACCCCCACACACAGCCACACTGCAGTCCGTTCTCCAGTCTCCTCCTGGGATCTTGGACATGCATGCATACGTGTGAGTTTTAAGCCATCATCCATGTGGGAGGGAGTCCAGTGACATTGTAACTTATGCTATCTGCTGGCCTGCTAGTTAAATGTATACCTGACTTACCAATAGGAATAAAAAGTACCACCTGATGTATACCTCCACCCCTCAGCACCTCTCCCCCTTAAAGTCCCCAGCAGCTAATCAAACTCAAAGATTAAAAATGAGTCTCTGGGGACTGGCAGGTAGCAGGATGGTTAAGGCACTGGACTCCCACATGGCTCACCACAGTTCAAGTCCTGGACCCAACGGCTTGCTTTTTCTCTCTGATAAGCACATGTGCCCTAAATTTTAAAATAGTAACAACAAAAATAACTTTTTTTTTTTAGAGGTTTTTGCTATAGGGTACGTGTGCTCACCAGGCAGAGAGACAGAGAGAGAAATCACCGCCCAGGGGGGATGTCCATGCCACAATCCCTTCTCCTCCATTCTCCTCTCGGAATCTTGGGCACACACACACACGCACCCAGCGGGAGTTTAAGCCACCAGGTCCGTGACTTTAACCATGGTCGACTACATGGGAGCTCATCAATCTACATAGCCATTACACTAACTGCTGGTCCCCAAAATAAAATAACTTAAAAAAGTTTCTGAGAACCAGGAGGTGGGTTAGCAGTTAAGATGGACTCCCACATGGCTGACAGCAGTTCAAGTCCTGGACCTGACAGCTTGCTTTCTCACTTTCTCTCTGGTGAGCACATATGCCCTATGGCAAATTAAAAAAAAAAAAAAAAAGTCTCTGTTGGAAACTAAAGCTAAGGACTAGGGTCTACTCCAAATGCCTTCCCTTTAGCTTTCTGTACTTTCGTTTTGCCCCTCCCAGCCATTTAGGAAAGAGTCAGGCATATACATAACTCAGAAGGTTTATTTGTTAGGAAGGAACTGTCAGTGCTTTATCAAAGATGAAGAGGTCAGAGGAGGATGGAAGGATAAAGGCCCCTCAGCTGGGACATTTCTTGGCCACAATGAGGACAGCAGAAGGCACGAGTCCTGAAGATGCAAGAAAACAGGCTTGAATCACAAGGACATTTGGTCTATGTTCCCCAAACTCCTGACCTCACACTATCTCCACAAGTCCTTTCTCTTTGCATCCCTTCTTTCCCCCAGGATGCCCCCCATACTCCTAAGTCCTAGTTTCCAATCCTGCATGCCATACCCAACTCCTGCAGAGGCCGTTCCATGTCAGCCTCTGAGAAGGCCCGTCTAGGAAAGCCACTGAGTAACTGCACAGGGTCCTGGCCCCCTCCAGGTTCCTCTCCACGGTGGAGTTCCACATAGAGCCTCACAGCTGCCAGCTGTTCCCGGGCCCGGAATGTCTGGGTCAGTGAGGTCCCATCTGGCAGCCTGACCTAGAAGGTAAAGGAGACAGCCAGTATTGTGAGCATCGAAACTGAGTAAGGAGGACCAGCAGATGGCATAATGGTTATGTTGCTGGATTTCCGCATGGCCAACTGCAGTTTGAGATGTGACCTGGAAGCGTGAAACTCATGCTGGGCATGTGTGCCCCAAATCCCAACGAGACTGGAGAAGCAAGGATTATAGTGTGGCCATTTCACCTGGGGGGTGATTTCTCATTTTCCGTCTCTGTCTCTCTGGTGAGTACACATGCCTAATAGTAAAAATGTCTCAAAAAAATAACCCAAAAAACAAAACAGTAGTGGGAGGCTAGCAGGTATCATGGTGATTAAGGACTGGACTCCTACATGGCAGACCACAGTTCAGGTCCTGTACCTGGTGGCTTACTTTCCCACTTTTCCTCTCTCTCTCTGGTAAGCTCATGTGCTCTATAACAAATTTTTATTATTATGTAAGTATTATTTTATCTAACTTTATTATTTAAGTTTGACCAGAGACGGACAGAGAGAGAGAGAGAAAGTGAGAAAGCAAGCCTCCAGGTCCAGGACTTGACCCATGGTCGGCCATGTGAGAATCCAGCGCCCTTAACCACCACGCCACCTGCTGGCCCCAACTCTATAGCAATTATTTTTTTCCCTATAGCAAACTTAAAAAATACAAAACAAAGGGGCTGGCACGTAACGTAGTGGTTAAAGGTGTTAGACTCCCACATGGCCAACCGTGGTTCAAGTCCTGGACCTGGGGCTTGCTTTCTCACTTACTCTCTCACTCTTTCTCTCTCTGATTAAAGTGGAAAATAATAATAATAATGAATGGAATTTTAAAAAATAATAAACTAAGATAATTCTTAAAATAAAAATAAAAACTGAGTGAGGAGCCAGAGTAAGGAAAAGAAGAGCTAAAGCTGGCTCCTCCTTCTCAGATTGAACCAGCACAACTATTTAAAGCACTGAATGAACCAGCACTTAGCCTCTGCTTTACTAAGAATTAAAAAGAGGGCTTCTGGCTCCCTCATAATCTGAGAAAAACATGGGACAAGGCTATAAAAATAAATAATTACATCATGAACATAACTGTGTAAGAAACAAGATGAAAACATTAGGAACAACTAAAACAGTAAGTGCTGAGTAAGAGAGAAGTATGAATTTAAATAAGATTGGAGCAGCAGGTGAAATCTGAGCTTTCCTAAGAGCAGAGGAGGTAAGATTTCAAAAGTCATTTATAAACAAGGGAGAGATTTGGCAAAGGAAACATTAACTAAAAAAAAAAAAAAAGCTCAGCTAGGTACATTATAGACCAGCAAAGGGGTCCCAGGAGCAAGACAGGAATCAGAATCAGTACCTGTATGCGACACTGGTCATACTCCCGCTTGGTGGGAGGCTCCTGGCTGGGTGAAGAGGGAACAGGACCTGGCTCTGTTGATGGTGGGGTTGGCCGAGAACTCACACTACCACCATACTAGAGGACAAAGTAAAACACACTCAGGAACTCACACACCCTCAGAAAATAGATCATCTAAGCCTATACTTTCTCTATGAAGCTGGAAGATGGAATTAACTAAACCTCCTACTTTACTACCCCCAGCTCTTCGCAATCACCTACCTTCTTGGCTCTTTCAGCTTTGTCCCTTTCAATCTTTTCTCGAACCCTCTGTCTGGAATGCAGATAGGAAGAAAGTAGGTCTTTGTCAATTTGCCATTGACAAAGCAAATCTTGATTCCTTTCTCATCTGTTATTCAACATCCCCATCACTCAGACCTGGCTGCTAACTCTTCAGCCTTTTCCCTCCTGCGCTCCTCAGCAGCCCTGCGCATTTCGTCTTCTTGTAGCCTCTGCCGTGCAGCTGACAACTCTTGCCCTTGTCTTCTGCGTTGTCGTTCCCGCTCCAGTGCTTCTCGTTCCTCTCTTTCTTCACGCTCCCGCTGCTTCTGGGCCACCAGCTCCAGCATCCTGTGTTGCAAAGAGGACAGAGCTTATGAGAAATGGACATGGAGGGGAATGGTGAGTTTATAACAAGGAATTCAGAATAAAATCCAGGGACCTGTGTCCCAGTAGATGAAAGAAATGAAAATGCCAAAATATAGCAGAAGGAATGTGGAAAGGTCAAGGTTCTTTTTTGGGGGGGAGGGGGGAGGTTTTTGCTATAGGGCCCGTGCCCTTGCCAGAAAGACAGAGAGACAGAAAGCGAGAAATCACCCCCCAGGGGAGATGGCCACATCGCAATCCCAATTCCTCCATTCTCCTTGGGATCTTGGGTACAGACGCACATGCATCCAGCCTGAGTTCAAGCCACTGGGTCAAGGACTTGAACCTGCAGTCGACTACATGGGAGTCCAGTGACATAGGCATTACACCAACTGCTGGTCCCTAGGTCAAGGTTCTTTGTTTGACCAGACTTGTATACTGGGGACAGATGTGAGAGACTCCCAGAAACTAAGTTTCTTACTGTACCTCTTAGTCTGTTCCTGTCTTTCCTCTTCACTCAGAATGGGTTTGCCTTCTCCAGTAGCAGACCCAGACCCTACAAAAAAAAAAGCAGTCTGTATTACTCCCCTTCAATTTTCCTGGGCCCTCCTGAATCGTCTAATGTGCCCCAGTCAGGACCTTCAGGGCCACCCTGCTCCGCGGGGGTGGGTTCCCGTCCCAGAACTTGACCAAGGGGAGTCTCTAGAGGCTCGTCCACGTCGGGGTCGTCTTCGTGCTCCATCAGCCTAGCAGGGAAAGTCGGCAGGGCTCAGCGTGGAGGCTGCCCCTCCCAGCACCCCCGGTCCACCTCCGCCTGGTCTGAGCGCTCACCAGTCCATCGCAGCCTCGATGCCCTGGTTCCCTGTGAGGGCCAGAGCCTTCTCCCTGGGGGCAGAAACACGGTGAAAAGCGCTCACGAGCCATGGTCACAGGCGCTGGGCCCGAGGCCGGGACGGGTCGGTGGCCCCCCGCCCCCGCGGGCCGGGCTGAGAGGGGCTCCCTTACGCGCGTCCCCTGGGGAAGCCCATTTCGATGAGGCTCTCCAGGGCCGTCAGCTCCGCCATGGCGCCGCCGCCGCCGCCGCCGCCGCCGCCGCGGCGACCTGGTGTGACGAGAAGTGGGAGGGGTCAGCGCCGGGCAGCCCCGCCCCCAACGCCCCCGGCCCGGCGCCCGCTCACTCACCCGCCGGGACCTGCCGGGGACACCGACGAGAAGAAAGCCGAGGGGAAGCGGAAGTGCCCGGATCTGTTTGGTCACGTGGGGGCGGATGTGGACGGGTGCCGCGGGGAGCCAGAAATCCCCGACTCTGCGTGGGCGGGCAAGGGCGGTGCGTTTGAGTAGTCGGCGGGCAAGCCACCCACCACGCTGGGGCCGCTGTGGCGCTGCGGAGGCTAGAGCGCTGGAAACCGCTGCTAGAGTGACTCCAGGCCCGGAGCCTCACTCTGTCTCGCCCACATTCTAAATTAGAAGGAGGGGCCGGAAGGTGGCGTCGTGGTTAAGGTGTTGGACTCCCACCATTTGACCGCAGTTCGAGTCTTAGAACTGGCGACTTGCCCTCTCACGTTCTCTCTGCCTCTGTGTTTTCTTCTCTTGTCAAATTAAAAAATAATAAGGAGCCGTCAGGTGGTGTGGTTGAAGCGCCCCCCCCCCACATGCATGGCCGCCTGCGGTTCGAGTCCCAGACATGATGGCTTTCTTTCTCTCTCTCTCTCTCTCTCTCTCTCTGTCTATTTGGTCAAGTTTAAAAAAATAAATGAATTAAATTAAATAAATAATTGCTTAAAAATGATAATAATAAGTAAAGTTAACTAAATATTTTTTTAAAAGAAATGAGAAGGAATATGGCCCCTTAGCACAACCTGTTGGAAAATCATTTCACTAATAATAATAAATAAATATTAAATAATTCTTTTTCAAAATAATTTTAATTTTAAAATAATTATTTACTTAATTTCTTTATTATTATCTTGTTTTCACATGAGTTTTGCCAGAGAAAGAGAGAGAGAGAGAGAGATTTTAAGCCACCGGGTCCAGGACTTGAACTATGGTCGGCCATGTGGGAATTCCAGCACCCTAACCACCATGCCACCTGCTGGCCTCCAGTATAAAATAACTCTTTTTTTTAATATCTCTTATTATTATTATTATTTAATTTTTATTTATTCATTCCTTCTATTATTTTTTTTAATTTGACCAAACAGAAACACAGAGAGAGAAAGCGAGAAAGTAAGCCACCAGGTCAGGGACTAAAACCATGGTCAACCATGTGGGAGTGTCCAGTGTCTTAACCACCATGCCACCTGCTGGTCCCTAAAATAATTCTTTTAAAAAATTATTATTTTATGGGACCAGAGGTTGGCGTAATGGCTATGTTGCTGGACTCCCATGTAGTCGACTGCGGTTCGTGTCCCAGACTCGGTGGCTTAAAACTCATGCCAGGCACGTGTGCATGTGTGCCCAAGATCCCGAGAGGAGGATGGAGAAGGGATTGTGGCGTGGCCATCCCCCCTAGGGGGAGATTTCTCACTTTCTGTCTCTGTCTCTGTCTGTCTGGCGAGCGCACCTGCCCTATAGCAAAAACCTCTCCCCCAGAAATTATTATTGTAGGGACCAGCAGTTAGTGTAATGGCTATGTTGCTGGACTCCCATGTAGTCGAC